CATGTCTTCGGAGGCATCCGTCCACGAAAGCTTATGCTCTAATAAATTTGTTAGTCTCTAAGGTGCCACAAGTACTCCTGTTCTTCTTTTTTTGAACTTAGAAAAGGAACAGAAGGTTTTAATGAATAAATCCATAACTTCAGTTATAATTGAAACAAATCCTACTGAGAGTTTGATCCCACAAAATCTCAGCTTGATTTTTCAATTACAGAAGCACCTTCCAGTGCTGGGTGCATTTTACAGTCCTTAGGTATTTAACTACCCATTGCACCCACCAATCAGATGGTGAAAGTTCCACGTAGCATGAACAGACCTGTAGGTACAGTAACAGAGGGCTATGTTCAGGCTTTTCTGAAATTCAGGGCTTTATCATCAAGCTGAGCCCTACCTCAACACCTGAACATATTACAGAAAGAATTCTTGATCCACAAGAAGAATCAGAAGTACTCCGAGCACTGGGAACATCCTGCTCTGTTCCTCCTTAGGTACTACTTGCATGAAAGCCGCTCACTTCCTGGTATTTGTAAGCCAATCTGTTTTGACTGTTTTTCCACCATTTGTATTTTCAGTGCCCTACAACTGAGCAGCTTGCTTCCTTTTAAAGCCTGCAGTAGGTTTTAATCTACTTAGCCGGGATTAATGAGAGATTTGTTAAAGATTTAAAGATTTCACACACTTTGCCTGATATCTGTTGAGAACAGTAGCTGTGAGCAATCAGTGTCATGCAGACAAGCCATTTCTAACTGCAGGCACCTTTGTCAGGTGTGGCCCACAGTATTCCCCCCCAATTTTCCCCCACATCACCTCCAAACGGTGCACGTAACAAAATCCATGTGGCAGAGTGGGGCTGAGGGATTTGGAGTGCGGGAGGGGGCTCAGGGTTGAGGTGCGGGGGGCAGAGGGGCAGGGGTGTGGACTCTGGCATGGGGCCGGAGAGGAGGGGCTCAGGGCTGGGGCAGAGGGATTCGGGTGTGTGGGGGTGAGGATTCCAGCTGGGGGTGCGGGCTCTGGGGTGGGGCTGGGGATGAGGGGTTTGGGGTGCAATGGGGCTGCCTGGGGCTATGGTGGGGAGAGAGGACTCCCCCCAGCTTTCTCTCCCCACTGCAGCACCTGGGCTGGGGGGGGAGAGGCGCCTCTCCCCCGGCCATGGCAGGTCCAGGGCCGGGCTGGGTCGGGGTCAGGGCTGGGGCACCTGTCCCCTAGCCGCCGCAGGTCCAGGGCCGGGCTGGGTCGGGGTAGGGGCTCCGCGGCAGGTCCGGGGCCGGGGGAGAGGCATCTCCTGAGCGGCGCTGAATAGGCAGTGGTGCAGCTGCACAGCTTAGAGGGAACTTCGGGGATTTGCTGCCTGAGGACCCCAAGAAGGAGTTCCAAGCAATCCTCGAAGAGGGCAAAGCGGTAGCCAGAGCAGCCCTCCAGGTGGCCTCAGACGCGGTAGACTCTATCTCGATAAGGAGGGCTGCAGTCCAACAGTCAATACAGGACCCCCCATTCGATGGCCAAGCTCTATTTGCTGAACAAACAGACACAAAACTGCACGGGCTCAAGGATTCCCAGGCGACCTTTCGGACCGTGGGCCTCTACACTCTGGGCCCGGCCAGAAAGCGGCTTAAACCGTAGCAGCCCCAGGGCTCTGGGAGCCAACCCAGGTTGGAGCCTACCCGTAAAAAAGAGCAGAGGCTACAGACTCCAGCAAGGTCACCAGCCAGCGCCCTCTGCCCAGTCGAGCTCCACCCGCAACCAACAGGGTGGTAAGCAGC